AACTGAATATCTTCCTCATGTCTTAAAAAAGAAAAAGCCTTGCATCCTGTGTGACAAACACCTCTGCACACTGAGAAGAATGTGGGTTGCCTGCTGAGTTTTTGTTATACTGTCGTCAGCTTTCGTTTCCTCTTCCACAGTGTCTTCTGTCACTCTTCTGTTGCAGGTGTGAAAGATGCTGACCGACCAGGTGGTGATGATCCCCACTTCCCACGCCTGCCCAGTCCACCTCCACCGAGGCCAACACAGCAGTGAGCTGAACCATGGGAGGGATTGGGGGTGGGGGGATTATCTGGATTGCACTTTAATCCAGATAATCATCACATAATATTTGACTTTACAAGCTATGAATATACTATTAATGCATTCAGACAGAGTCACATAAAAAAAAAGAAGAATGACTAATTAGGGAAGGCTGTGGCCCCTATCAGTCAAAAGGCTGATAGTTTGATACCCTGCTGCTGCAGTTTGCATGTCAACGTAAAGGGAAAGATACTAAAACCTCACGGCTCCATTGGTGTCTGAGCGTGTGTTGACAAATGTTAGACATTGTACTTAAGTATAGAAAAAAACGTACTTGTATGAATGTGTGTGTTCCTGGATGAATGAAGCTTGGGGTAAAAATCTCTGTGAATATAATCGTAAGGTAGTAGTCTATTTAATTTAAGTGGTAGCTTAAAGACTCTCACTGTGGCATTCTTGGCCCCACAGCACCCTCTAGTGTATTTATCAAACAAATGCAGTAAAAGCAGAGTTTAACTTGATTTTGATTCAATTTTCTCTCCTAGTTCTGATCCATCATTCCAAGAGCGGTGTCAGGGAGGCTTTGATGCTATAGGAAACATTAGGGGAGAGGTCTTCTTCTTTAAAGGTATGAAAAAGTGGATCTGTGCTCAACAGAATAAAAAATACACCTCAATTAATTTTCCACATTCGTCAAAAAATTTTATTTTTATTTTATTTATCCGTGTTGTTTCTTTTGTGTCTTCTCTTCAAAAAGGTGCACAGTTCTGGAGAACCCAGCAAGATGGATCTTTGGTGTCCTTAAATCCGGCTCAGATCAAAAACTTCTGGATGGGCCTTCCAGAAGGAATAAACAAGATCGATGCTGTGTATGAGAGGAAGAGTGACAGCCGCATCATCTTCTTCATCGGTGAGAAGCTAAATCTTGTGGTTATGTATGGCCTCAGGTGATCTAATTTTGGCCGTTCAGAGACGTGAGAAGTGGGTGACTTCTCACGTCTGTTATATTTTAAACATGGTGGTTTTTTTGAGTGGGGGGTGAAATGTTAAATCATATATAAATATTTTAATATACGTCATTTAGGTCAAGAAGTGTTTAGACAGTGATGCATTTTTTTTATTATTTTGGCTCAACACGCTGCCACAATAGATGTGAAAACGAAACAATTGAGATGCAACTGGAGTGCAGATTGTAAGTTTTTAATTAAGAGGCAGAACAAAAAAGGGTGTTAAAACAATGAGGATTTATTTTTAATATGTACAATATAATATAATAATAATAATAATAAATAATATAATAATAAATAAAATACTTATTTTTAAACTTTTAAAGTCAGCCAATATGGTCCAGTTTGTCCTGGTGTTTTCTTTCTGTTCCAGGCTTTTAATGCTGCTGTTTTCTGCTGTTTTTGTATTTGGTCTTTCCTGCCTTCAGTTTTGTCCTCGCTAAGTGAAATGCAGCTGAAGACAATGTCCTGAACAGATCTGCCCCAGACAAATATTTTCACTTCTTTACATTCAAACCTTCTGCTGTATCTTTTGGGTCATTGCCTGTATCATTGGGTCTGTATTATCGGTACTTTCCAGTTTGGTTTTCTGCTGATAAACCGAAGAATTCACCAGGATATGGTTCCGACTAACATTAAGTGATTTTCTGTTGAAATATTCTGTTTTGCTTTCGCCATGTCCAGGAGCTCAGTACTGGGTCTTCAAGGACACAGTGGCTATGGCCGGTTACCCTCAGCCTCTCTCTGACTGGGGCATGAAGAAGAAGTCGGGTGAGACAGTGAACAGGGTGGACGCTGCTTTCAACTGGGCTCATAATGGCAAAACATACCTGTTCAGCGGAGGGGAGTTTTGGAGGTTTAACGAAAACATTGAGAATGGACAGAGGACCATCCAACCAGAGCAAGGATATCCACGGGAAAACACCCTATGGGAAGGAATGCCTGCCCATATCGATGGCATCATTAGCTGGCGAGAAGGTAACATTGTGTTAAAATGGAGACATATGTGATGATCTTCTATTACAAACTTGAGATCAAAGTTGCCCAATTCATTTCCCCAAGGGGCCACATGAGAAACTGGGCACCAATAAGGATTAAGCTTATTGGTACAGTTTCTCACTTGGCCCTTTGGGAAAATGAATTGTCCACCTTTGCTCTAGATAAATACACAACAATGATAGAGAAGTTATTTTGGGAGATAGCTTTTGTCAGCTGTCACACCCAAGACGCTCAAGGGAATGACGCACACAAAGGAGTGGAAGAGCGTTGATTAAGATAAGAAGTTCTAAATAACATCTTACACTGAGATGCAACATGATTCAAGTAGATAAATGAATAAAGGAAAGATTCCTGCACAAGAAAATGCCATGTCATATCCTATTTCATTACTTCATGTGAAAAGTAGTAGTATCACATCAAAGCATACTTTATATTAGAATGACAATCCAAATATGACTAATTTAACAGGTGGGTGATTTGTTGAAAATCAGTGGATGCCTCCCAGCTGACCCAGAAAGGGCTAATTTTTAATTTTTTATTATTAGTACGTATTTTAGTATTTAAAAGCTGTTGAAAACTTTGGCTTCAGGGTAAGAGAGCTTTTGAAATGACAGGATTTAGAAGTACATTTTCTGAGCCCTCATAACATCATTAAGTGCAGGAGCTAACCATATAACTACTTTGTAGTTACAAAAACTACAATGTGCTGCTGTCTTCCACTCCTTTTAATCAGCATCCAGTTTGTGTGGGTTGGTTTATTCATAATTTGATGAAACAAAATAACATTGCTTTTCGTGTTCTTTTTTTCTTTTTTGTTGTTAAGGAAATACCTATTTCTTCAAGGATAATTCCTACTGGATGCTCACAAATGGAGGCCTGAACCAAGATGATGTCACACCAAAATCCATCGCTGTAGACTGGCTTAGATGTCCAGCTCCTCCTTCAACTTCCACTCCAACAAATCCTCGATTCCCAAAAAAATGCACCTGCATCTTCTTGGGATCGCATTCATCGCTGAGAAGCAGCTCTCTCCTCTTGATTTTTATTTTGCTGCTAACCAATGAGATTATAAGAAACATGAGTTTGTAATTTTCTTGAGTCAGTGTTTACTTCTCCCTTTTTTCCACTGGCGGGTTATTAATAGAATGACTTTATGTCATCTTACTTGCATAAAGTTACACAATAGTTTCAAATTGAGTCCCAGTGGCAAAAAAAGCCTCTCTTAAACCCCCTGGGTTTTTATAAATACAGTTTCTCATCTGAAACATATTGCGACATTTTTGTATTGAATTACAATGAGCTTTACAGAAGAAAGAAACGTCATTTAACACCACAAGCAAGCACACAGGTTACTTCTTCATAACAAGGTCTTATGTAACCGCCTTGTGCTTGGGGTGATAAAAAAGGTAAATCAAACATACTTAACAGCAAAAGTCATTTTCATCTTTAAATATATCTATTTATAATTAGATTTTGGTGCTTTTGCTAAAATATCAAAATATATAGTGCACAAGCAGATCTGGATTATGGTAAATTGAAGATTTTGTTTTTTTATATTTGTGTAGTTTTTACAAATGTACAATGTTTTGGTTGTTTTACATTGACATTAATAGCTGTCATTGTAGAATATTCTTAAGGCTGGGCTGTGTTAAGCTGAGATGCTTAACTTTGCACATGAAACATACCAAATCCTTCAGTGGTTTTCACAGCTCAAGTCAGATAGACTTACTGTAAAGTGACAATATACATTTTGTAAAATCTCTGTGAAAGAAATCTTAAACAAAACCATTTATAAGTTATCAGAAACTATTAAAATGTCCTAATGTTGAATTTTATACTTTTGGTTTTGGTTTGTAGCTTTGTCTTTTGCTTTTAACACATATTTCTTTGGGAAGGAAAACAAAGCTTTTTTTTTTTTTTTTTTTTTTTCACGTGCCCTTGCCACAAGTGTGAAGGCATGTTACCTCATGTTGTCTTATCTGGTTTAGATTCAAGATGTTTCATTTTCAATGATTAAATGCTTGTCATTCTCCAGTGACAGTTCTGTTTGTGTGTTCAGTTACAGATTGATGATAGCATTATTAGGAACACCTCTCCCTGTTTGCAGGGACCTATTTATCTCAAGGACATCAAATACCGCCATTACAAAAAGAAGAGCAATGTGATAAGAATGCTCGTCTTGTGGCCTGAAAAATATGTTATAAAAATATGTTTCACTTAGTTAAAATCAAATTAACTGCAACCCCAACCTTTCATTGATAATACGGCTAGTTAACCATTACACACACACAGCCAAATCCTTCAAAGCGGTTTGAGTTTAAACAGGTCTGTTTGCCCTGCTTTGTTAGTAAATGGCATGGGTCATGCAAGGTTAAAACCAGTGTGGACAAATAATTGGCAGCTTCACAGGTTGGGAATAAAACTAGGGATCTTTGTTCTAAAATACATTGTTGAAGCACATTTTGTAAACTAGAATAGACACCTCTCAAAAGCTCAGACAGCTTGGCCTAGTTAGGTGTAACAAATGCACCTATGAAGCACTCCAGCCAGCTATGTATCATTTCAAAATTTCCAGAAACTTCCAAGAATTTATAAAAAGAGAGTAAAGCGGCACAAACATTCACAAAATTTTTTTAAATGCCATTTAAGAAGATCAGGAAAGTCAATTTTCTTCATGTTGAAGTAATACAGTACAGTGTTAAGGACATAAGCAATGTGCATCACTGATAAACAATTTTTTTCATCTGAGAAAGTAACACACAAAACCTTCAAAACACGAACTTCATAAAGGAATCGGCATGTTTTCTTTTTTCATTTTGTGGTTTTAGCACAGTGCACCTCAAATGCAGCAGTAGCTGCACTAATGGAGGCAAGAAAGGTTACAATAGTTTAAAATAAATACAAATAACAAAGAAATAAAATCACCATATCCTTCAATCATCAGCTGGTAAACTAAACTAGTTGCATGTGCCAACATCAAGGTATATCATAACGTGTCACCAGATAGCAACACATTCTTATAATGCTGTATTTCATAACCACCAGAACTACACTGTAGATAGTGCAGGTGCATCCCTTTCTCACCCACGCCTAGCTCTGGCAGCTCAACAGAGATGTGGAACATGCCTTAATTGTTCACACCATGTTGGCCTCGCAAAATGAAAACTTGTGCATGTCATTGCATAAAGTAAACTTTGCATGGATGAGGTGCGTGCATGCATTCAGACTCAAATCTGATAACAGGTAAGTGCTTTGTCACAGGTAGCCATAATCAAGAGATATTGTTGAGAGATAACATTGGTGCAGAGGTAGCCTTCACCTTTAAAAATTGTTCTTCACACTTTTCGTGATTATGTCAAACACAGAGAGCTACACTAAAAATCAGCAAAGGTCAGTTTTAGTTAAATGGGGGAAAGAGCGAATGTTCTGAAGTGAGGCAACGGGTTGACGATGACGTTCTCTTTCTATTTTAGCTCCAAATCCAGCCCAGTGCAAGACTGAGAAGTAGCAGGCCAAGGGAGAAGCAGGTTGAGGAGGCAGAGGCCCTGACGCTCTGAGTTGACACTGGCTGTGCAGGCTGCAGGCTTCTGTAGACGTTTCTCATGAGTTGTGACGTGCTGTTTTCGACACGCACTGTGGTGCTGAAGAGGTCAATCTGGTGATGATATTCCAATTAGCTTCATGAACCACTTATAGACCATCTGTGCTCGCAGCAATGACAATTAAGAGACAGAAGAAAGAAATGAAATAACACCTACCAGATCTTTGCTGACTTTAATCGGTTCCTTAAAAACGGTCCAGACCACCGCCTCATTACAAGTGGGGGTCGTCAAAGATCCAAGGTAGCGGTAATACTTAGTGCGATTCACACCAACGAGCAGGTCGTGGTGGATTTCAAAGATCTCCAAGGTAGAAAGGTAAAATAGGATCTTCATGGTTTTCACGCAGATTCAGGGTACATCGAATCGCTGCCCGCCTTGAATGACATCGAGCTTTGATTAGCAGCAGATCGCAAGTCGTGTATGATTAATTGACTGAGTTCGTGATCAGGCTCGCTGATTAGACAGATATTCCGATACGCTTGGAGGATAATGCTGAGCGCTGTACCTACATGGCTATGAACTGTAACATTTAATGGAGAGTGAATGTACAGAGTGATATAAGGGAGAGAGTCGATGATTTTTTTGCTCTCTTCGCATCAGCTACAATCAAAGGAAAATCAGCTCATATTAACTGCTGTTTGGATAGACCAGGTTGTGCAAAGTCATGAGGATGATACACAAATATTTGGTCGCCAGTGCTTTGTCGAGCCTGACCCACGTTGAACACATTTGCGTCAAACATCTAATCATACCTGGAAAAGATAGTATATATATATTACCTGTATGTTGTATAGTATGTTATGTATGTGTCTTAATAGTATTATTATTAATACTGTATATATATATACGTTGATAAGTTTATACCTCGCAGTATTTAAGTTGACATAGGCCACGCGCCCTCATTCAGTTTAAAGTACCACTATTCACACTAACCATTATACACTGTCCTATCTTCTACTAACAGACAGTTTTCACGCTACATTGCTTTAATTAATACTTCTAAGCTGACCTATCCGAGCCTCTTTAGCCTTAATATCCTCACCGATTACATTATTAATTAGATAACTAACCCATCCTCTAACCTATCTAATATAACATAAAGCAGGGACATACTTCATCATTAGACATTGATAAAGGTTGACAGTATTTGTAGCTGTAGCTCATTATATGATACTCAGTAGATCAGTTACTCATGTAAGCTCTCTATGGTAGCCTTATCAGTATGGGCTTGATTGTGCTAGTCACTTACTAGCTCAACTCTGGACCTCTAGAGGTATAGACAGTATACCAACACAAGCAGATACTTCATCATTGGAGTAGTACTTTATACTTAGAGTACAAGTATTCTATAGCTGTCATTCGATTATCCCAGCTGTAGAGCTCAGTGTTAGTTTATTTGAGCGTCATATTGAACGTTGCCTTTATTGTTTCTCACGGCTTCAGATAGAAGAGAATGATCATAAAGCAAGGGAAACACCCCTCGAAACAGTCTGCTTCAGTGGGAGGAGGTCGTCAAGACAACGACCGTAATAATCAAGCTGCAACTTGACAACCTATATTCACGAGGCTGAATGATACGGATTAAGAGCCCTGTCCTGCAGGTAGCGCTTCAGCCTATCGTCAGTCTTGGCGCGGTTCTGATCGGAAAGAGACACACAGACGCAGAGCGACGCTCGAGTGGTGTTTTCGGACTCGCGGTAGGGAGACCTATAGTGCCATTTCCAATTCGAGGTGATGGCAAGCTTTGCTCGTTAGGCCAACTAATGTATTGGAGGATGGGAATATCCACTAGAGAGTTCATTACAAGGACCATATACAGAATGTCTATACGACCTGTGCCTAGTCTGTGTGGTCTTCTTGGATGAATCTCTAGAGCACCAGATATTCATTACATATGTTGTCTTTAGCTGGCGACAGGAAACTCAGCGAGCACAAACGCTCCCAATTAATAACTCGATTTGTAAAAATAAATAATTCTGTACTCACGATAGGAAGCGCATGCCTTCACCAATCGTCCTGCGTGTGGTGGCGTTCGGAGGTAGGCAGTCCGGACCGCTAGACAGAGGCCCAAGTGTGACTCGCTGTGGGTCCGGAGGAGCCAACCAGCTCACGCACGAAGCTCGTGCGATCTGCTGTAGGGGGTTCCTGGATCCGTCAGCCTGCATGCAGCGAACTCACGTTTCCGCTGATTCACATAGGAGTTCACTTAGACGTGCCGCTCTTATGAAGTGTCGAGTCACTTTGACTGAAGAAGGAGGAAAACAAAACAGAATACAGGTTACTCTAACCGATGAGTGAAGAGGTGAATGTTGAGGTGCAAAGGGGGTGCGTTTAGTTGTAGAAAAGAGAAGGGCGCTAAAAATTCCAGTAAGACAAGTTATATTTATTATGATGATGATTATTATTATTTTTGTTAAACTAGGTCGAAATATATGTTTTGAAACACAAAGATAAAAAAAAAAACACCAACCCACAACAACAAACTTTTGTAAGCACTAAGCCATAAACCCGGGCTCACCTGTGTCGCCAGTATTTTCTATGGATGTCATTGCGGAGGTGTCGTCATACTTTACAAAAGTGAATTCAGTCAGATTGGCGTTTTGTGTGGCAGATGCTGAGACGATGTTAATGGGTGACTGTCGGGTGCCGTTGCAATATTCCGGGGAAATTGTTGACCAGGTTGTGTCATCTATGAGCGAGCCTGCCGGTGCTCGATACACGCATATACCTGTCGTCTTCGAGATCGATACTGTCGTATTGAACGCTCAGGGTGATGTGCTATATCTCCCTAATGAGCAGAAAGCTGAGACCAAGCTCACCTCGCCTTTGGCGCTGGATAGCAGTCATTCGAGCGGTCTGCGCCGTTCAGCGTCTTCGAGGTGCGGGTCGCTACGGCACTTGTCATGATAATTCGGACGGATATCTGGTCTTACTGCTCAGCTGATCGGAGGTGAGTTCAGACCCTGTCCAGAGCGAGTTGTGATCAAATCGATAGCTGGGGTCGGGAAAAAACGCGACGGTCCTCCTGCCCACATATCCGTCTATAAATGCGCAGGCTTCGTCGCTGATTTCAGCTCTAGTGGTAGCACTTGATACTGGCCATTCGAAAATGTCCTTCATGCGAACAGTAGAAGGAGAGTGTATGGTATAGTCAGAGCCCACCACTAGGCTCGGACTCGCTGCTCGCGGAGTGAGCGGTCGGGTACGCGGAGATCGCCCGCAAGTCGACCAGGAACGCAGGACTACAGCAACAACTTCATCTGAGAAGTCCAAGAGCATGCACTGCTCAGTGGCCGCCACTGCCTTCCAAGTGGCCGGCCTCCTGATTGGTTTTGTCTGCACCGCCGCCGTTGCCTTGTGCACGGTTGGCCCCCAGAACTGTTTGCCCGTCGTCACAGTTGCTGTCCGCACGGCCGGTATCCAGAACTGTCTTGGT